GCTCCCATCACTCGGGGCTTCACACACACGACATGCATAGACAAAGCAGCAATGGAGATAAAAGCGAGTCCTTCTTGTACACAAAAATTTTCAATTAACTGCCGCCCCCAGGCGCAGCCTTCAAACCTCCCAAGACCACCGACCACCATAGCCACAAGGCCCTGCCGCGGCCGGCGTCCAATCCCCACCACTGCTCAGTCCCTCCGACTGCTTCGCCCCGAGACTACCGCGGGTCCACCCCACGTCGTCACTCCGCTCGTCCTTGGGCTCGTCGAGCCTGTTCGGCACCGCGGACTTTCGCGCATAGCTCGCGCAGCATTGCAGCCGAGATCAAAGAGAAGGAGAGGAGAGGGTTGCGTGAATTTATAGTGCGGGAGGCGGCGGGTTGTCAGCGCGAGGTGCGGGCAGCGTCCCAATGTGGTGTATCACTTCCTTGTGTTCGGGGCTCCCGGGGGAATTTTCCTCAGGGATGCGGCAAGCCGCGCGGTACGGATCTGAGCTTATCACACGCTCAGGACCATTACCCTACCAATGGGCAGGTAACTTGGACCCAACAGCGGTGATAGGCACCAGGGCTGATAGGTTGCCCAGCCCTGGTGGACGCGGAATCGGACGAGCCTTGTCGAACGGGAACTTTGGACGCCAGGCCCAGACAATCTACTACAGGCCCCAAGAGACTCTGGGCCCTAGGTTTCAGACAGGGTAGCACCCATTGAAGCAGTCTTACCGTCCTTCCCCTAGCTTACCCACACGAACGCTTCCGCGTCTGTCGGACGGCCTGTTAGAGGCATCATGAGATACATGGTGATGAATGTATCCCCATCGTGGACACATTTTATTGCCACGGTACATCGCTATGCAGACTTACGTGAAGGAGATCGTACCAACCCATGACTTCGGGTGCACAGCAGAACAGCTGTGCACCCGAAGTCATGGGTTCGTACGATCTCCTTCACGTAAGTCTGCATAGCGATGTACCGTGGCAATAAAATGTGTCCACGAACACAGCCACGAGGATGAACAAGTAATGGGTATGGGGATACATTCATCACCATGTATCTCATGATGCCTCTAACAGGCCGTCCGACAGACGCGGAAGCGTTCGTGTCAGATCCACCACGATATCTGAATTTCACATTTCGAGTTCTGTTTCTCAGAGCCAAAAAAAATAGAAAACGAAGTCTGGAAATCACCCCCGCCCCCTTTCGAGTCCAGAAAATCCAGACTTCCCGCCCACGCAAAGCCACGAGCTATCATGTCCAACTTTGTTTTTTTTTTCTTTTTTCGACGCATCTCATTGGACGGGAGGGAGGTGGGCATCTTTACTGTCCCCACTCGGAAACTACCAGGCCGTCGAGATCCAATCTATTCGACGACCGTACTGTGTCACTCGAGGCCACACGTCATCGAAATCCTGAACGAAGTGGTAGAATACTTCGCTAATGAGTCCAGGCAAATACTGAAAATCTTCTATCCAGTGGGCCTAAGGCCAACCCCACCCTCCTTTGGGGTTGGCCACACCCCCAACTGATTGAAAAGATTCTGGCGGGAAGATTTCTTTGCACGGGCATGCCCAGTGTTAAGGAGAGGAGGAGGGGAACGAAGATCTCCTTACTTTTTCGGGTAATACATGTAAAATACTGACCGTGGGATCACGAGTACTGCACGGCAGGATTTGGGTCACTCAACTGCCCCACAAACTCGTTTCTATCCTATCCCGTTGCAAGTGGGACCTCGCCCCTGGGGTCTGGTCCCACCTACCGTTATTGAGTTTAGAAAACTTAACGGTGTGACCCCATTTCGACATTAACAAATTCGAAACAAGAAATTGAAAAACTGAAAAAAAAAAAAAGAACGCTAGAAACAGCTTTTCTCCTTATTTTTTATAACGTAACTCGGAGAAATGTTCGAAACAAGAAATTAAAAAACTGAGAAAAAAAAAAAGAACGCTAGAACATGTCTGGAACAGTCGGCGTGAATGTCTCCGTGAAAAAGGGATAGTCCCCGTGGTGAGGGGACAGGAGGTCACCATTTGTAAAATGGACAGGGACAACGAGGATGGCCAAATGCATTCATTGCCCAAAGAAGGAAACCAGCTTCATGCCAGAGAGCCAAATGCATTTCAGAATGTACTGATGTCTAAAAAACCAAAAACAAGGAAAGGCACTGCGGTTGAGAAATGTACCCTACCCTCGGTAGGGTAGTTTTCTCAATGGAAAATGGTTTCCCGCCCAAACCAAAAGGGCCAAAGCATACTACAAAACGGATTTCACGTCAAAGAAAAATTCTACAAAAAAGACAAAATCTAATAGGTTATTCTCCTGTATTTCGGTACCATTAGATCCCAATACATCAACGGCAGAGCTCCGTCCCACCATGCCCCATGTGATAGAAAGCTCAGTGTTGAGAAAACTCAACGCTGTATGTGGGACCAGACCCCTGAGGTTTTGCTGTTTCCAGTCCACTTAAAATATGGCTACTGCCCCTCCTTGCCAAGAAACTAGTGCCTAGATGGCTTGTATACAGTTTGGGGGCTAGAGAGTAGAGACAATTTGGTCTGATCTGCAAAAACTGAGTTTTTTTTTTTGTTTTGTTTTGTTTTTTTTGAACAAAACGCCCCCTCCAGTGCTAGTGGTGCTGGTAAGAGCAGACACCTCTAGCACCTGGTCAGAGGCTCCATCTATTGGTGGGGAGCATCACCTGCTGGAAAGCGGGTCAGAGGCTCCATCTATTGGTGGGGAGCATCACCCGCTGGAAAGCGGGCCAGCATTTAAGACCTGGGTTTTATGATTGTTCTTTTGTGAGGAGGGTGACGCGTTGGGGTTGGGAGCTAGGATTATTTATCTTGATGAGGGGTCGTGGGGTGGATAACAAGGGTTAGGGTTCAGGGTGGTGCAGTTGTCGTAGGTGAGTCAGGTTTTTTTTTTTTTTTTTTTTTTTTTTTGGAGAACTCTCTGTGTCGGTTGGACATGGATAATGGAAAAGTGAGGTTTTTGGAGTTCGCAGCCCGTCAGAGTTGCGTTTTATGCCCTTGAGGCCTTCGACGTCGATTCAACTTTTAACGTCGGTGGTCGTCGGGAGGGTGGGCAATTTTGAGGTGAGGGCTTAGCAAGGGGCAGGGCATGCAAAGGACTGGTGGCTGCCCATAGGAGGCCGAGC